GGGTTGGACTAGATGACCCACAGAGGTCCCTTCCAACCCCTACCATTCTGTGATTCTGTGATTTTAATAGGTATTTACCTTCATTTGTGTTCTGGTTTTGATTTAGTCTAGTTGATGTTTTGCACACAAGTTGGGTAGGGTATGTTTCACATCTAATGTGGAGACATTAATGATTCCATTAGAAATGATAGGTACTTGAATTACTGCTAGTGTTACATTAGAGTAATTTAGTCCATAACTTATATTCTCATTTTTACTTGAGCATATGAAAGCTGAATGCTGCTGCTGCAACTCAGATTGGCATTTCAGTTTTACAGCTTTAGAGTTTCTCTTTTGTTATCGTGGGGCTAATGAAGGATTTTTTTTCATTTTAAGCTCACAAACTCAACAAAAAAGTGGGACCTGATCTTGTGGTCAAGAAATATTTTTTTTTTTTTCTGTAGTGTCTGCTACTAGTACCATTTAGATCTTTAACCATAGAAGGAACTAGACATGGAATTTGGGCGTTGGTCTACAGAGTTGGCACATGGCTTCTTATTAATGTTCAAAGGCTAAAAATCTGAAGCCATTTTGAACTCAGAGCCCATCATGTATTTATTTCCCTCTCTAATTTGCAGAAAACTGGTTGTGAAAACAGCCCGAGGGACCTGATATTTTTCCATCCCAGCTGCTCCAACTGAACTACAGCTGCAAAAAAAATCTAAGTATTGTTTCTATAAACTGTTGAGTGTATTTTATAACACAATAATTCCCACAAAATCAGTAACTGCAGTTAATGACCGGTTTGTTAAGGCATTAACTGCACTCAGCTGGGAATGACCAGTTTCTCTGGAATGGCTGTATAAGAACTAAGGATAATTCACTAACACTTTCAAATAATTATTTGGTTAATTAATGGTAAATTCTTGTGGAAATCCTATCAAAGTACTCGTGACCCCCACATTTAATATCCAATGAGTTCATTATGATTCATGTTTTATTGCCATAAATACCAGAAGAATCCATAATGACTAGGCCATTATTTTCCAGGGCTGCCCTTACTGCTTTAGGCCATTTGGCTGTTCCACCTTCAGTCATAAAAAGCTTGATGCTCAAAACTACCAGCATTTGTAGGCCACAACTTTCTGGCACCACACCAAAACTTTGGTGATTTTTATGAACACGTTTGGCAGAGATCTGTTTTTCCTTTTCTTTCTCGTGCTTCTTCTAGTTAGGGAAATAATTGATGCCTACTGTACCAAGTCATAAGGAAGTCTTTCTTGCAGTGTCTGCTTTTTCATGTGTGGCCTTCAGCAATGGTCAAAAATAGCAGAAAAGGTATCCCTTCCATGCTGTGAAAAGCTGTTCTCCAGCCAGGTCCTGGGCAGGGTTTGAAATTTTTACAGCCAAGTCTCTAAACAATGATTGACATACGTTAGCATTCAGGTGAGTGTAAAATAATAATAAAAAAAAAAAGTAAGCTTGGTACTGGCATATTCAAGTAATAGTCAATGGCTGCCAATTTTGGGGAGTGTGGTCCCTATGTAAAAGGATGGCAGTTGGCTTGGTGGATTTTTCAAACAGTCTTGTCACTTCTTACCCTTCTGTATAATCTTCAGCCTGCAAGATGATGCTTAGCGTTTAAAACACTGTTTTCTTCCTAATCTTCAACAAGCTAGTTATGCATGGTTTCCAGTCAGCTTTCCGATAGGCTGTATGCTTCCTGGTTGAGCACGAGATTAACGGTTGCCTTAAATCATGCTGTCTGTGCTTAGAAACAGCCACCTCCTCTTGATTTTCCTGAAGCGCCTGATTCTTTGGATCATGCGTTGGCACTGTTTTGCATGAGAACTGAAACAAGTCAGGAGGTTCTGTTTTTTTTCCACAGGGAAAGTGGGACAGTGAAACTTCCAGAGATCCACTTGAAATTTGTTATTTTCTTTGAAACTAAAGTGAAATGAAACTCAAAATGCATATACCATTAAACACTTAACAGCTGGTTTAGTTGTACACTGTTTTCTTTTAGCTTTAGGTCTGTAGTTTATTTTCATCTTCAAGTTAGTAGAATTTAGGGTTTTTTTCTGTTTACTCACAAGTGAAAAATACCTCTTTGCTGAGCCTGTGCAGTAAGTGCCTGTGACATAAATGATCTTAAGCCCTTCTCTATTCCCTATGATGACAGTAGGACAGGGGAATTGAAGGAAAATAGGTCAGTTAACTGCAGAGCGAGAAGCAATTTAAATGCAACTCTTCCTTTTGAAACTATAGCTGTCTTTGCCTTTTGTGTGTCATGAAATCTGTCTTATGGAACACACTTCGGGAGAATGCTTTAAGTGCCAGTCGTTAAAAACCAACTCTTTAAGAGTTCATTCAGATAAAATAAATCGATTTGAATTCTAGATATTCTTCATACTTTAGGTTGAGTATCTAGGTCTTTTTGACTTTTTTGGTAGTTTAGAAACCGAGGCAGTGCTGTCATTCAGCACTGATGCCAAAGGTGGTGTTCAGGCATCAGAAAGGTTATTGTGACAGGCTGGACCTTTGAAAAACGGGGAGAGAGAATTGTGCAGAGAGTTTCTTCTCAAAAAACAGAAGGCCTTTGCTGCTATAATAGGCTATTTTATTTGAAAATAAGCCATCAGTATTGCAAAATACTAGGAAACTACTATTGCTACCAAATGAAGGATTGTATCTTAGCTGATGCTTTATCTTAGCACAAACAAAGCTTGCAAAGATGAGGAGGGGAAAAAAACCCATGAAGGAGGGAGGTTGAACAGATGCAAAGTAGTCGTGTTGACTGCCTGCCAATTCATACCTGCTGAAGATCTGGTCCAGCTTCAATCTGGTTTGTTTTTCCTGTTGCTGTTCTGGGGAGCCAACTTACCTCCCTTTTATACTGGCTTACCTTTTACCTCACGTAGTGTTTCATGCGTTATCCAGCCAAGTGTAATTGTAATTTGGGCCTTAAATCTGAGTCTTGATGTTTGAGTCTTGGTGGCATGGAAAGAAGGGTTAAAAGCAATGTAGATGTCTGGTTTTTTTCCTATCCCCAAGAAATTTGAAGGCATAATTTACTCTTTAAATTTTTGTGTTTGCTTAGGAGAAGCCTTTAGCTGTATGTATGGGAAGTTTTTTTCGTGTAATTGTTGGATTTGCGTTGTCACTACATGTGAATAGGTAGGTAAGTTGACCAGTCACCAGAGAAGCATAAAAGATAATAAACACTTTGTTTTGTTTGCTTTAAACAGAGTGTGTATGCTTTAGCAACTGTAGTACTGTCTGTGCTTTTAATAATAACCAGAGTAGGTTTCAATCTGGGCATTATCCTTTCTCCAGCTGCTAAGTGCATGGAAGGTTGTGATAAAAGTTGCATTTCAAACAGGTAACAATCCAGAAGGATCTGAAAGGTCAGCTGTGTTTTTAGTTTTGGCATGGGAAAGAATACTTCACTGTTGTAAGGCAACTGCCAGAAGGGTTTCATGGGTGGTTTTTTGTAATTCAACTTTGAAAAAAGGCACAAATAGGCATTCTCAGGATAAAGGCTTCATATCCTTGCTGCTTAAAGGAAATTTCAGCTCCCAATGATGTATGCAGAATTAAAATTTAACTGTGTTGGTTGCTGTTTGAGGTCTTCACGTTTTGCCAAAGTGTTTAACAGATATGCTCTAACTCAGCTTAAATAGAAGTGGGAGGTAGGATATTTCTGATCAGTTGTGTAAGAACTGTGAATAAATTCTGAGTTGGTGGCCTTACTGCATCCTGGTCCAGCTAATATAAATCTTCAGATGAATATTTTATCCCTACCTGTAGGGAGACTATATATGTAGTCGGTATCTTGCTAATGTAGGGCTAGAGGAGACCTTAAGAGAATGCTCAGTCCAGATTTCAGCAGTGAGTCCGGATCAAATTTGTGTTGTTCTTAAACATTTGTATGTTTGTCTAAGTTGGTTTTATAGAACCTTTCAGTTAAATATTTCACAGCCTGCTCACATTAACTGCTCCAATTTTTCTTTAGAATCTTCTTCTTTTTGGTAAGTATTAATGTGAAAATATACTCATGTCACCTTTGAAAAGGCACCCACAGGATAACGTTATCATTTAGGATAATAAAACGATCAGTATGTGACTTTGTGGAAAGGCACTGGGTTCCACCTACAACACATTTTAGTGGTAGTTCTTGTTTTGGTCTCTGGCATTGGTACTTTCTTTATCATTTCACTTTGAGACAAACTTCTTGTTTAACAGGAATATCCACAGCTAAATCGGCATTAAATTTGATATTTATTTTACTAGCTGGAAAGTGATGAAGGCTTACTCTGGATGGCCTGTCATTATTAGGTATTCCTTTCACAAAATATATTCCTTGCGAAGTGGAGTTAAGGAGGTGTATTGAGATGCTGGGGTGAAGGGGAGTAAGTTAGCATTGCCTTTGTTCCTTCTTTGCACAAATATGTGTTTCATTTGGATAGGCCAGGCAAGACCCTTTCATTAACGTTGCATTTCTGATTTAAAATTTCCCTCTTTGAGCTGTGATTTTTGTGCTTTTTGTTTTCCCCTGTTAAGTGTTTATAACACATAAAATACCAGGCTTCTGTTAACATGGATTTTTTTTCTCCTCCTAGCAAATGAAAACTGCAAACAAATAGCAATGTGTATTCTGTATCACATAAGCATGGATGATCGCTTTAAATCAATGTTTGCGTACACAGACTGCATCCCACAGGTATGTGCTTTTATATATGATGCGGTGCTAAGATGCGCCTTTCCGTGTGTGTGTGTGTGTGTGTGTGTGTGTGTGTCTTCTCCTCGCTCATAGCAGAGCTCGCACTGACACCCACCGGTGAAAGTGGGAACAGCCATGACGCTGCTGAGTTGCCAGTGAACCACCTACTCATCAGGCGGTCTGGCGTTCATGCTGTCTTTTGATGGTCCCCAGAAAAAGGGTGGGTGACACGTTCTCTGTCAGTGCTGCTAACACTTGAGCTGCGTTGGTGGATTGGTGAAAAGACGGATGACCGGCTGAATTTCCACAGAAGATCGGGAGCGCTTGAGAGAGATTAAAGCTGGTGCACAGCAGGTCCTTGGGGAACTTTGTGGAAAGTATTTCCGTTACAGTTTTAGAAGGCATTCTTTTCTGATCCCATTGGGTATCAAAATTTCAGTGTCTCCAGTTTTTCAGGATATGAACTGGAAGCTAGCCAAGCAGTGTGCTGTTGCTGCATGACAATTCCTCTTCCAACTGCCGGCCTGTACAACAGGGGAGACTTGAAGACTATGGAAAGGGTCTTCACTGATCTTTCAGGCTACAGTTTGTTGCGTAACATTTTGTCTCCAGTTGTAGTCTTTGATCCAAGCACAGACACAAGATCATGGGGTTTTGGGTTTTGTGTGTATGTTTTTTGTGTCTTGTTTGGGTTTGGGTTGTTCCCCCCCCCCCAAGTACCAAATCCTGTCTTACTGATCTTTTTCTCAGTCTTGATGAGGCTGAGGCTGGAGTTGAGAAAGCCTGCATTGCATAAGTGTATAAGCTCTCCGGTAGCTTTGTCAGAATTGAACCATGGTACATTCTTTCCTGCCAAACATGTTTTTAACATCAAATGCATCCAGAATGGGAAGTTGCCATGGAAAGTTTTCAGAATGTTTCTGGTCATTATCTCATGACAAAAATGGTGATGTTTTTCCAAATACAGGAGGATTTTGGAGAATAGAGGGGGGAGAGCTGGTGGGAAAAACTAGTATATGTTACAAAATGGTCTTGTAAACATCCTGCTGACTGCCTTTTCTGCCACAAGAAGCAACTATATGTTAAGGTATTTGCATGATATAAGGGAAGCGCTTTGTTCTGGGCAGTTACCGGCCAAACCAGAATTCATGCACTGTGTTTCAGGGCTTGCTTGTGACGTGCTTTCAGGGGATCTTGGCATGGCTCTTGAATCCCCAGTTCCAAATGTAAAGAGCTATGGAAACTTCAGTGATATCATACTCTGAGCTTTGGTGAACATCATTGTTCTGATAGGCACTGACTGCTCCAACTAGTGCTTACAGAGCTGTGTCTAAAGACTGGTGGAGCAGGAAACGGGTCCACTGCCACCATTGGACTTTGGCTAAAACTAGAAGATTGGAAGGATACCTATGGCTACGGATGCTTCAGTGGTCAATGTAATTATTCACAGACCACATCTGCTGACTGTTGAAAAAGATCAAGCTGGACAACCAGAGCTTAAATTTTATTAATGAATGTTCAAAATTAGGGGAGTTATTAAGGAAGTCAGAGGTAGCAAAAAACATGGGCAAGTGGATAAGGCATTAGGAGAAGATGACTACCTTTTTAAAAGGACTCCCTGCCATCTGATTCTACCCTGGAAATCCAGATTCTCTTTTCAATAGTAATCTGTGCCCTTCTGTGGGTTTCTTTCCCTTTGAGGAAAGGCACACATCTAAACTGGCAAATACCCAATAATGAATGTTTAGCTGTTGTGGAAAGAGATTGGAAAATCCATCCCCTGTTGTCATTTTGAACAGGCGAAGTGCTTGACAAGGGCTTGCGCGTGCTGTCCCAGGTAAACATCCTTGTGGATTGCAGGAGTTAGTGGGTGCTATTCTAGTAACAGTTAAAAGTGAGTATTAACAGTTCATTCTTGTTTAGACCTCAGCACTGCGTGTTTTTAAATAGGTGCAAATGCCATCCAGATGCTTATAAAAACCTTTATTGGTAATAACCTGGCCAATCAAAGGGCATGGTTAGGCAGTGATGTCATGGTGATATTTAATATTTTACCACAGAGCAGTATGCAAGGTTCTCTGCAGCTACCCACATGTTTTCCACCACGGTTGTCCTGTTTGGCCCCTCTTTGATCTATAAGCTTCTTTTCAGCTTAATGCTGGTAAACGTCCTCTCTTGACAGCACCCTTTGCTCCTGTCCGCCATTATCTGCTGAAGTTCAGAAACCAGAGCATCACTTCAAACAGCAGAGCTAGGGAGTAGCCGGTCAGGAGAGATTCCTGAGGCATGCAGTTCTGGCATAATCATTCAAAGATGTTTGAGCTGGGCTTGGGGAGGGGGTTGGACAGAGGTGTATGTGAACAGAGAGCGGTGGGGGTTGGCCTCTGGTCACTGGTAAATAAGTGAAGGCAGGTGCCAGAGAGTCTAGACACAGTGATTTCAGTCCTGGTCTGTGGTATCTGATACTCAATATGGGACTTGTCTGATTGAACACTACTGCCTCTTCATTGCACATGCGGCAGTCTTTTTACTGCCTTCCTGTTAAATCAGTAAAAGATGACAATGGACATAGTAAAAGCAGAACAAATTTAATTTTAATATTTCCTATTTGGCAGCAATTACTCTTCCTTTTGAAGTGGCACAAGAAACAATCAAATTAAATGAAGATATAATGGGAAACATGGAGCTCGTACGAAACTATTATTTTAAAATTTGAACAGCTCTAATTGAAACTGGATATATTTTTTTTCTTTTTATAGAGAAGTAGTTCAGTAATTAACAGTGTAATCCCATCTTGTTAAACATCTAATTTCCTCAGATTTTGTATTGTGTAAGTAATGAGAATGTTTCCCTTCAAATTGTTTGAAGGGTTTTAAAAATCTGTTTTTAAAGGTTTTTGTAACAGAAGAGTTGCGAGGGGTGATTTTTGAATGCTCATGTTCTAATTGTTAAGTGGCAGCTTTCTTCTCTGGTTAATTCACTCTTACGTGACTGTAAGGCTTACGGATTTAATAAACTGAGGATTTTATAAGTTCTTAAAACAACCTAGGGAAATCTGATTCTACTTTTTCAAGAAAGC